CCTGCTTTTCTCCCCAGCACAGCCCTGGAGCACTCAACTGTGGGACCTCACCGGGTTCTCCTGTGAAGACCTCATACCCTGTGTCTTGAGTCTTCACCAAAAGTGGTGAGTCTGTAAAAGGAAATGGATTCTCCCACCCTACTTCTGCCACAGAGGCTGGGTCCGCAAGTATAGAGAAAAGGAGGGGGATCTCATGGGAGGCCCATCAATCCACACAGATCTTTCCTGCAGTAAGTTGTGAGTCTCAGGTTGGTGGTCATAGCCAGTCCGTGCAGCTGACTGGCCTGGGAGTAAATCCCTCCCATTGATGTGCCAACAGCAATCAAGGCTCAACTACAAGAGGACAGTGTACACAGCCCACACAGGAGGCACACCTCAAGTGCCCAGCTTGGGTAGGCTGTGCCACTGGACCCTATAGAACTCATACTAAGTTAGTCCACTCTACCAAGGCAGGGAGAGGTAGCAGCTCTACCTAATACATAGAAACAAACACAGGGAGGCTGCCAAAATGAGGAGGCAAAGAAACATGCCCCAAGTGAAAGAACAGAACAAAACTCTAGAAAAAGAACTAAATAAAATAGGGATAAGCATTCTAGATGCAGAGTTCAAAACACTGGTTATAAGGATACTCAGTGAACTTAGTGAGAACCTCAATAGCATAAAAAAGGACCAGTCAGATATGAAGAATACACTAACTGAAATGAAGGATAATTTATAGGGAAACAACAGTACAGTAGATAAAGCTAAGAACCAAATCAGCAATTTGGAATAAAAGGAAGCGTCAAAACAGCAAAAAGAAAAAGGAATCCAGAACATGAGGCTAGTGTAAGGAGTCTCTGGGACAACTTCAAGCTCACTAACATTTGCATCATGGGGTTGCCAGAAGGAGAACAGGGTGGTACCACATGTGGTGGATAAAAATTGGGAGAGCTATCTCAGCTGCCGAGGTCAAGAAATTGAAAACCTATTTGAAAAAATAATGACAGAATCCTTCCCTAACCTGCTGAAGGGAATAGATATGGAAGTGCAGAGAGTCCTAAATAAGATGAACCCAAAGAGGCCCATACCAAGGCACATCGTAATTAAAATGCAAAAGGTAAAGGCAGAGAGAATCTTAAAAGCAAGAGAAAAGCAGTTACCTTCAAGGGAGCTCAATAGAAACTTTGAAGGCCCAGAAGGGATTGGCAAGATATATTCAAAGTGATGAAAAGCAAGGACCTACAACCAAGATTATCCAGCAAAGCCATCATTTAAAATCAAAGGGCAGACCAAAAAAAAAAAAAAAGCTAAAGGGTCTTCTTTAAGAAGAAGAAGAAAAGATAGATATGGAAGTGCAGAGAGTCCTAAATAAGATGAACCCAAAGAGGCCCATACCAAGGCACATCGTAATTAAAATGCAAAAGGTAAAGGCAGAGAGAATCTTAAAAGCAAGAGAAAAGCAGTTACCTTCAAGGGAGCTCAATAGAAACTTTGAAGGCCCAGAAGGGATTGGCAAGATATATTCAAAGTGATGAAAAGCAAGGACCTACAACCAAGATTATCCAGCAAAGCCATCATTTAAAATCAAAGGGCAGACCAAAAAAAAAAAAAAAGCTAAAGGGTCTTCTTTAAGAAGAAGAAGAAAAGACAAGATAAAAAATATGAACAATAAAATGGCAATAAATACATATCTATCAACAATTGAATCTAAAAAGCAAAATAACAGATACAGAGAACATTTGCCATTTGCCAGATGGAAGGTTAGAGAGAATCTTAAAAGCAAGAGAAAAGCAGTTACCTTCAAGGGAGCTCAATAGAAACTTTGAAGGCCCAGAAGGGATTGGCAAGATATATTCAAAGTGATGAAAAGCAAGGACCTACAACCAAGATTATCCAGCAAAGCCATCATTTAAAATCAAAGGGCAGACCAAAAAAAAAAAAAAAGCTAAAGGGTCTTCTTTAAGAAGAAGAAAAAAAGACAAGATAAAAAATATGAACAATAAAATGGCAATAAATACATATCTATCAACAATTGAATCTAAAAAGCAAAATAACAGATACAGAGAACATTTGCCATTTGCCAGATGGAAGGTTGTTGAGGGGATGGGTGAAAAAGGTGAAGGGATTAAGAAGTAGAAATTGTTAATACATAATAGTCATAGGATATAAAGTATAGCATAGGGAACATAGTGAATAATCTATTAACTATGTATGGTGTCAGATGGGTGCAAGATTTAGCAGGATGACCACTTCGTAAGTTATGTAATGTCTAATCACTAGAGTGTACACCTGAAACTAGTATAATAATGTATGTCAATTATAATTGAAAAATAAAAATGGTTTTAAATGGGGGGAGGGGAGCTGTACTCCTTACATATATTACCCATATTCCCTCGCCCTTCCAGCCCTAGGCAAACATTCATCTACTGTCAGTCTCTATGGATGTACCTGTTCTGGACATTTCATAGAAACGGAATCATACAATATGTGACCTTTTGTGGCCGACCTCTTCCACCCTCATTTTCCACTGTAATATTCTACTGTGTGGATATTGTGTTTATAATTTGTGCACTGATGGATGTTTGGATTGTTTCCACCTTTAGCTGTTATGAATCATGCTGCTATGAACATCCACAGACAAGTTTCTGTGTGAACATGTGTTCACATTTCTGTTGGGGATATACCTGGGACTGGAATTGCTGGGTCATAGGTGACTCTAGGTTTAACTGTTAGGAACAGCTAGATTTTTCCACAGGAGCACCCTGCTTTACCTCCCGTCACTGAGCTATTTTTGAAAGTATGTTGTCCCCTCTCATTTTAGTGAGGGAGGCTAAAAATGGGAGTCTCTTGGGCTGGGTGTGCTGATAATGCCTGCCCCGGATCCCCACCTGCCCCCCACTGTCCCTCATGTGTCCCTCTGTTTGCAGCTTCCATGATGACGTCCCCAAGGACTATAGACAAGTCTCTCTGACTGCCGTGAAACAGCGATTTGAGGACAAGCGTTACCAAGAGATCAGCCAGGAAGAGGTGTCACCCCCCTACCCTGTCTCCTGGTTGGGGTGGGAACAAACCCCTGCCTACCCCTTGGGGCCTCTTCTCTCCCTCTGACCCTGGCTTCCTCTCAGGTGCTGAGCTACAGCCAAGTGTGTGCAGCTCTAGGAGTGAAACAAGAGAGCCCGGAACCCACGTCTTTCCTCAGCTCAGGGGACATTCACACCTTCCTTAGCTCTCCTTCCGCAAGGAAAACCAAGAGGTTAGTAAGCCCAGTATCTTAAGGGTGTGATGCAGTGTTGGCTCCTGTGTGCTTGGGCCTGGGTTCCCTCGTGACCCCTGCAACTGCCTGAAGGGCTCCATACACAGAGGGTTCCTATGGCATAATGGAGAAGGAACAGATCCTATGAAATTGAAGCTGGGTTGAATTCAGGCCTGAGCTGCACTCCACAGCGCTATCCTCTTTCCTCCAACGTGCTGTCTCTTGCTTTGACTGGTACCCTTTGAGGGAAAATAGGCTTGAGCATAGGTTGAGCCCAGCTCAGGCTCTGGCCCTGCCATGCACCTGTCACATGTCACCCTCCCTGGGCCCCCTACTCCATGGTGTTACTGGCACTCCCTGAACTCGAGCTATAACCTAATTAGTGTCCTCAGCCCCTCCCATACACCCTCATCTCTATCCTAAATCTTCTGTGTATATCCCACTTACTTCTGTCTCTCCTATCTCAAAGTCCTGGCTGTACCACTTGCAATAACTTTTCTTCCCCACCTCATTCACCTGAAGAACTCGCACTGATCCTGCAAAGTCCAGATGAGCCAGTGCTCTCACTGCACCTCTGGCCTTGCCTCTGGCACTCCAAGGGCAGGCACTGGGTGGCTGTGTTGTCTCTATCACAGCACACGGGGCAGGGCAGGCAGGTGCCAGGGACCTAATGCTGCTGCCTATGACTGAGTTCCTGGCCTCCACATCTTAGGAAGCGAGAGAACAGCCTCCAAGAGGACAGGGGCAGTTTCGTCACCACCCCCACCGCAGAGCTATCCAGCCAGGAAGAGACGTTACTGGGCAGCTTCCTGGAGTGGAACCTGGACTACTGCTCCGGCTACGAGGGCGACCAGGAGAGCGAGGGCGAGAAGGAAGGTGATGGTAAGTCCTGTGGCCACGAAGCTACCCAGGGGCTATGCCAAAGGGGGCAGCAAGAAAAAGGGCAGCTCTCATCGAGGGCCCCTGGCTTTACCTGCAAGAGAACATGTCCAGACACAGGTAGACGTGAGAGAGCAGAGTCCCTAGGACACCACAGCAGCGTTTGGGGAGAAAAGGATTTAAGCCAAACGTGTGTTCAGTTTCAGGCAGGCTTGTGTTGATGGAAGGGACTCACTGCGGCAGGGAAGAGGAAGAAGTCCTGTCTGGAGTTTACAATAAGATCTTTCTAGAACTATGTATGAGATGTGTCCCCCACTGCCCTGTGCAGCTTTGTGGTTCTGTGCCTCACACTCTCCTCCAGGGTCCAGGGGAGGCTGCAGGGGGCTCTATTCTTGTGTTTTCAGGCACTTGTCTGCATAGAAACCCAATTCAAGCAGTTTCTGTCAATCTCCCAATTGCTTGCAAGCTTTTGTGTCCAGGGAATTAAGTAAATTATTAGATGACCAGTTTGTTGTCACTTCCTACTATCCCCCAAGTCCTATTGGTGCCCCAAGCTTGAAGGAGGCCTTTCATATTCCATTCTTTAACTCAAAGATCAGTAGAGGGGACTGTCTAGTGAGGTCCAGCATATGTAGCTGAGAGAACTGGGTGAGAGTTGGTTGAACCCTAGGCGACCAGGGTCCCAACTGGGTAGGGGGTCACCCTGATGCTCAGTCTGTGGCCTGGCCTCTCCTCTGACTCCTCCTTCTCCCATAGTGACAGCTCCAAGCGGTGTCCTTGATGTCACTGTGGTGTACCTCAATCCCGAACAGCACTGTGGCCAGGAATCTAGCGATGAGGAGGCCTGCCTGGAGGACAAGAGATGCCAGGACCTGCACGCCATGGTGCCAAGCACCCAGACACCTCTGGCCCTAGGGCCCACGCCCCCTCTCTGTGGCAGCAGGGAACTGGGCAAGGACATTACAACCTCAGGGTACTCCTCCGTCAGCAGCGTGAGTCCTACAAACTCCGTGAATGGCGGCCCTCCCCAATCTACCTCAGCACATTCCCCAGGCAGTGACTTGAGCACACTGCATTGCCATCATCATGCCAGGAAGTCGTGTTTACAGTGTCGTCCCTCAAGTTCCCCAGAGAGCAATGTTCCCCGGCAAGAGGTGAAAAGGAAAAACCTATCTGCCCCCAGCAAGGAGGAGCAGGACACGAACTTGGGCTTCCTGGAGCTGTGAGTGTGTTAGTGTTTGCTGCAGTGAATGTTTGCAGAGAGAGAGCTGCTGCTGCACTAGAAGTGGGAGCACTGGAGATGAATGATGTGTAGACCCCAGTGGCCTCAAATGGGGAACAGAGAACTTAGGAAGGGCACTGAGTGTCTTTCACCAGGCGAGTCCCATTCCAGCTATCAGAATGTCTAAATCAGAACAAAAACTCAGATCCTTCTCTTTGAAAAGTTTCACCTCAAAGCAACACTGTGTGAAGCCTATTTCTCTGTGCTCCCCTGTGTCTGTCCTGCTTTCTCTTTGGGAAGCTTAAGCCCATGGCCTGACAACCCCAACCCCACTGAACCCTCATCACAGTAGTGACAGCTTTCACAACCTGGAACACGTGATCCAGGTAGCCTGGCACAGCTTCTCCACTCCCTCCATCTCTCTGGTTTTAGGTTCTAGGGCAGAGGTCCTCAAACTACGGCCCGCGGGCCACATGCAAATACAAATATTGTATTTGTTCCCGTTTTGTTTTTTTACTGCAAAATAAGATGTGCAGCGTGCATAGGAATTTGTTCATAGTTGTTTTTTTTAAACTATAGTCTGGCCCTCCAACGGTCTGAGGGACAGTGAACTGGCCCCCTGTTTAAAAAGTTTGAGGACCCCTGTTCTAGGGGGAGCTGAGAGCTTTGAGTACAGGTCTGTCGCCGTGTCCACCTCACTCTGCCCAGGTCATCTACTCCCTCACAGGGCAGAGGGTCCCACGGTGAGGGAGCCATGCCCTTTTCATTGTCAGACTACATGTGATGACCAGACATGAAGGCCCTGACTTTTTGCAGGACAGGGCCTTGATGTCTTGGTCATAGGTTCCCTCCCTCCCAGCTCATTTTAGCAATCTGCCCCTCCTCCCAGAGTGATTTGTCTGTGTCCCCAACAGATAGTCTCCATATGAGCATCTCTTGCTGTGCTGAATTTCTGGGCCATTTATTTTTAAGTAGAAGGTATTAAATTTTTAAAAACAAGGGATTCTTAACATTATTTAGACGCAGCTGAAGATAATCTGATTCAAACCCCTCAAAGCTATCCTGATACTGTTTATGCAAAAAGAATTTTCCTAAAGAGGTTAGCCAGGGGGAGAAAACCCCCACAAAAAAACATCATTTGTAACATCTGAAGTGACCCAGATGCAGAAGAGCAAGATTGAGAACTGTCCCTGCCTACCCCGCGAAGATGGGTCTGCTGTGGGTTCCTGAGAATAACTAGCCAAGACGCTTGGGTCAGCAGCCAAAACACCCGAGAGACCTGCCCAAGAGCAGGAACCCTGACCTCTCCGCAGTTGGGTTGACCACTGACACTCGCCATGCTGTGATAACTTCTGTTTCCTCTCCAAATGTCAGAAAGAACCACTTGACTGGGAGTGTCCCCCAAATGCTCTTGAACCAGAATTACAGTGCGTGGGTGCGTGCGTGCGTGTGTGTGTGTGTGTGTGTGTGTGTGGTGTGTATCTATGTCTTTTCTACTGTAAGAGAATTTTGCAACTGTGTGCCCCTGGGCATGTGTGAGCCTGTTTCTTCACCTGTAAGATGGGGCAATATCTACCTCACAGGCCTGTTGTGAGGATTAAACGTGATGAGGATAGTGGAAGCTGAGTGATGTGCATATCTGTACTGCCTTCTTGTCTCTTCCTACTGTCAACCAAGGCACACTGTGGCACTTGCCCATGGCCCCTTACCAAAATCCCAACTCTGGGTGAACCTGGTTCTTGGCCTTCTCCCAGCTGCACCTGTAGGGGAAAACTACTCCTGTGGAACCTAACACTCCATGACCACAATGTGGAGTCTCCCTGCATCTTCCAAAGTTCTAATGATCACCTCAGTGCCCTACACTGGTGTGGTGTCTCCCAAGTGCTGATGGGAAGCGTTTTCCCCTCCCCTCCTACCTCACAGAGAATCTTCTTGGTAGAATGGCATCAGCCTCCCCACATTAAGCATGAAAACAGGTGACAGCAGCCCCAGGGCTGACTGGGTCCCAACCCCTGTGTGCCTCAACTCCCCACTTTCATGTCTCTCTCCCCTATGCTGCACCACCTTTATTAGTGACTATAAAATGGACAGCTCTCCATCTGTAAACATGCCCTCCTCCCCAAAGATTTGTGGTCCTAACCCAAGATTTTTGTTTATTCTTTTCTCCAATTACATTGGGGCTTGCCGCCTGCATCACTGCCCCCACGCTGGGTGTTCCCTTAGTCACTGAAGACCCCACCCCATCCCTTGGACAGCGTCCTAGTACAGTCTCCCAGTGCTGCTTTGACACCGGGCTCTGCTGTCACTCCACCTCTCTGGGCTCCAGCTCTCCTTCCAACACCCATTCCTCACCTGTCCCTGTCCCTGCACACCTGCCTCGCCTTGAACCCTCTTGCTTCATCTCTACCCACGTGCCTACCTGATGTCTCCCCTGCATGTTCTCACCGCACCTGTATGTCCAAAAGTGAACACTCCCTTCTTCCTCACCCCCGCTCCCAACACACACTTCATTCTCATCTCCAGCGACTGTTGCCAGTAAATAGCGATTGGGCCCATCCCGGCGTCAACAAGACCGGCCGGCCCCACTTCAGAGCGCCTTCAGTGAGAACAGAGGCGCCGACTGTGAGCGATCACAGATGCTACCATCTACCAGTCAGCCGCACCGGAAGCCTGCGCGGCTCCCGAGGTCCGCTCCTCCAAGCCTCGGGGCCCGGCTCCGGGAGGAGGGGCGCGAGCGGCCAGACGCGGGGTGGCAGGTGGGCTGGGTGTAGGGGGAGGAGGAAGGTCCTGAGCTCTGGTCTCCGGATTGGATAGTCCGCCGGAAATGGGCGGTCTTATAGCCCGGAAGGGGTGGGACTTTCCGCCGGCGGCAAATCCTGAAGACTGACTACCGTCTCCATGCTACCGCTGGGTTGCTCACGCCGGTGAGTCCGGCGCTGGGGCGAGGGCGGGAGCGAGCACGGCCCGATGGAGGCCGCCCGGGTGCTGAGAGCAGAGCCTGCGGGTCTCCCGGAGGCTGCTGCGGGCCTGGTACGCGGGCCCCGGAACCCCCGACTCGGCCTTCCCCGGACCCTCAGAACCCCTCTCAGAGACCGGGCCAGGAGGGCGGGCCCAGCGCCCACTTCCCAGGTGCGGGTTGTCGGTGTCATCCCCCACCCCCCTTTCCCTGAAGGCTCTGAGGAGGCTGGGGTTTTGCTTCCTGTGCCTTCTCAGGGAACCAGCTGAGACCCCGACTCCGGAGCCAACCCCAGGTGCAGAAACGAATGAAGAGGCCCCGTCTCCAGGTAAACCTCAGCCACCCAGCTCCAAGTGCTGCCCCTGGCCTGCCTTCTGCATGCAGCGGTAAGAAGGACAGTGGGGACCGACCGCTGTATTGGCTTCCACAGCATGCACACCCAGCCCCCAAGACCTCAAGGAGCTGGAGCTTCTAACCCAGGCACTGCAGAAGGCTGTACACGTGCGAAAAGGCATATCTAAGGCTGGAGAAAGAGACAAGGCCTTCAGCCTGAAGCCTGGGTCCATTGCCACTTCAGCTACCACAGCCGCTGCCCCACACCGGGCTTCTCAAACAAAACTCCCCAGGGGCACCCGCCAGGCCACCAGGCCTGCCAAGGGCCTCCCGAAGCCTAGGCTTCTGTCAGCGGGGGATCAGGCCTGTGCAGGGAGAGGGCCCCTAGCTGCCAAGCCTGGACCCGGCCTCAGGGACCCACAGATGGCTCCGTCGGCTGCTCCTCAGGCCCCAGAAGCCTTCACACTCAAGGAGAAGGGGTAGGTTTCTCAGAACCTCACTGGAGGAACTGCTAGCACTCTACCTGACCAGACCCTAGCCAGCAGGGAGGGCAGGGCATTGAAGTGCATGTGGGTTCTGGAGTACCACCCATGAGGCCCATGCCCTGAAGCTGGCAGAATGGAACAGCTGGTTGTGAATTGGCTGGGTTAGATGTGCTAGGGCCTGTCCCACTCTCCTCCCTGGCCATCCAGTGCCCTTTTATCTATCCAGCCCAGGGGCTCAGATGGGCTCTGCTTGTGGTACCCCCTCCTCTCTGACAGGGCAGACCTGGACGGGGTTGGCTCCCATGGTCACTCTGGAAGCCCTGTTTGGGGGTGGGGGGTGTTAGCCTCGCCCCTCTCTGGGCTCTGAGCAGGGAATGGGGTCTGCAGCCCCAGAATGAGGCGAGGCTCCTTTGAACACTGGGTTTCCTGACAGGACGCTGCTGCAGCTGCCCATGGCCTTCAGGAAGGCGGCTTCTCAGAACTCCAGGTGAGGCTGAGTCTGGCAACTGGGTGGGGGTGGAGGGGAGAGCACGGAAGCCAAGGCTTCCCACCAGCTCGGGGCCCTGTTGGTAAGACTTTTCCAGGAGATCTCTTTGCTTTCTTTGCTAGGAGGGAACACTATGTATTAAGAGAGTCTGCCCAGCTCCGACCGCCGTAGTCACCTTAGACTCAGTAGGCTTTGAGATCCCCAGCTCAGCTGCTTGGTTATAAGCTGCAAGACTTTGAGCAAAACACTTGGTGTCTTTTAGTCCCAATTTGTCTTGCATGTGCAGGTGATGATAGTAGTACTAGCTTTCCCAGAGATGTTAACTGAGGTGGTTCCTTTCAGGTTATGCACTGTGCCTGGTACACAGCCAGCACCCACAGTTCTTACCAGTCATCCTAGTTACCAGTCACTGCCAGCCCCTCTCCCCTTCTTCCTCAAATTCTCTCCTAGTATTTCTCAGAATGCGTCAGCTCTCTGGACAGCGTCCTCTTAGTTCCCCTGAGACATCCCAAGGCCTCTCGCAGCTCTCAGCAGAGCCAGACACCCTAGGGCCTAGGCTGAGGCCCCTACTCTGGCCCTTGCCTACTTCCTGAGATCCAGTCCAGATAACTAGAGTAATGATCTCTCACTGGGGTGCCCATGTGTGCATCCAGCCTGTGGGCCCAGCTCAGCTCTACACAGACCAGCGACTCCCTGGATGCCACTACGTCCTCTAAAACCCAGTTCCTCCAGAAAATGCAGGTGACTGTATCCTTGCTGGATTTGCTGGGGGGTAGGGGAAGAGTGTCTGGTTCTACGCTTGGTGAATTTTTTTTTTTTATAATATATTTTTTATTGATTAAGAAATTACATATGTGTCCTTGTCCCCACGTTACACTCTACCCCCCCCCCCACGCTCTTGCCCTCCCCCACCGTTGTCCGTGTCCATTTGTTAGGC